TCCTCTGCTCTTTCTGTTCTGCTCTCCTTTGCTACTGACATTCCGTTGTGTCCTCTCCTCTCTCTCCCAATCCTCTCCTTGTCTCTCCTCTCCTCTCCAATCCTCTCTTTGTCTCGCTCTCCTCTCTCCTCTTTTTCTTCTATTCCTTCTCTCCTTCTCTCTCTCCTTTTTCTCTATTTCTTCCCTCCTCCTTATATCCACTCCTCAACTCTTCTGTCATCTCTTCTTTCTTCTCCTTTCCTTTAACTTAATCTCTTCTCTCTTCTACTCTTTGATTTTTGCTTTTCTTTGCCTCTCTTATCTCACCTCATGCCACCTCACATTCTCCCTCCATCCCCTCCCCCCCATCTTCCTCTCTCTCTGCTTTCCCTTGCCTCCTGTCTTTTTATGTATAAGTGTAAGACGTATAGTTAATTAATACTGTATTTTAGCCAGAAGGTTTAACAGATGATGATGAAGAGGAGGATCAGAACAGTGAATACAGCACAACAGAAGGCAGCATGGGAGATGAATCAGAGGTAAAGATGTTGCAAAGATAATACAGGTTAATGGCATGATATGAATTTAGATAGTTATGATGAGATGAAACCTGAATTTGTTTTGTTGTGACATATATACATGGTTACAGGTAGAAGAAGAAGCTCTTATATCATCTGGATCATCAGAGAAGCAGGATGATAATCTTGCTAAGACTGGTGATTCCAACAGCACTGGGGCGTTAGTGGGAATACGAATGCAGGAAGCAAAAAGGCAGTTTGCTCGAAAGTCAATACAAGTGAACCTGTACAAGATGTTGAGGTAATATTTTTTCCTGTTCTTCAACATTGTGAATCAGGCAACTGTGCAATAATACTTTATTATGTGTTTATTGTATCAGCATAGTTATTGTTCTTTTAAATCTGGAAAAAAATAGTACCATATTATCTTCATCTGAAAATGTGTAAAAGTCTTTATATCTGTGATAATGATTAATCATTAATTTATGAACAGTAACTAAAGTGCTGTTGATTATTTAATATGCCTGCAGATTATCAATGCAACTGCTCTTATGAAGTTTACTTCAGGGGGATCCGAACATAAACAAGCAGGACACTGGCTGGACCATGCTATCTAGTGTATTTCTTCAGTCCCATATGCCCATTTTCTGTAAAGGATCACCATATGTAAATGCCATGGCACGTTCTATTCCAAATATACCTGTCTATGGTTTGGATAGTATTGAGCACCATAGGTAAGTGAAAAAAAAATTGTTTTCAAGACAAATCATATTTTAATTGTATTTTTCTTACAATTATGGGATGCTTGAAAATTATGATTCAGCTACATATATTTATAATATTTTCTGTCTCACATATAGCATAACTTTACTGTATTAAGGAAGGTTTTTTGTTTTCTGTGTGTCTGTTTTTCAGTGTTGTGCATGCAGTGATGTTTACATTTTCATTTGTTTCATAGTGAATAATAGTTAAGATGAAATATAATCTTTGATATTTTTATCCCTTAAATATTCTCTTTTTTCTTAGTGTCAATGCCCGTTATGGTGTCATGGGAACCCCAAACACTGCTGCTGTTCACAATGGAAATGGGGTTGGACGATTCAATGCTTTCAGAGTACTCAGTCCTACAGTTAGTCTCTTTTATTTAAATTATCTACTACACGACCAGGGAAATTTTCAGACATAAATGTGACTTCCGTTAGACTTTCAGGTGAGTTTCATCAATCATGTTATTTTCTGAATGATAATATATAAACACGCGTTTACCCTTTCTGAATATTTTGTACTGTTGCCCTAAAGTTTAATATTTACAGGATGATTATTGAAACAATTCTTAAATTCTCATAGTTTATTTTTTGTTCACAGTATAATAGATCCATTATGTTGAAATTATATATAAAGGAATAAGAGGTATAAATTGTAATATTGGCCCCCCCCCCCAACAAAAAAAAAATGGTTTCCATGCACTGTTTTTTAGAACATACAGATCTAGAAAATCTTTTTGATATATCAGATTGTTTATAAGATATTGTTAGTGTCTTTCTGTGATATTTGGATTTCTCTTTCCTCAGGCCAGGCCTCCCATCCAAAGTAGCAGAAGGTTGTCCATATGCTCTGTGGGCTGCATGGGTCCTTCTCCTGAGCTGTGCGTCTTTGGCTGTTCCTCACATCAGAGTGTGCGCCAAGACTGACAGAGGCAATCCTAAACAACTGCGCGGGAAGCTGAAGCACAGCATGATCACCATGATTTAAGATGGGAATGGAGATTAAGTTTCAGGATGAGGGAGGGGTGGGAAGGTAGGGAAAGAGGGCAGGGCGAGAGGAGGGGAAGAGAAGGTGAGGGAGAGGGAGAGAAGGGGAGGGGAGGGAAGGAGGATGAGAGAGAGAGAGAGACAGAGAATATATATGTATAATGTATATATATGAACACACTGTTCTATAACATTATGGATATGTTTGTATGTCTGTAAATACAATAAAAAGTATCTATATTGAGTTTGTACATAATACCATATGCAATTCTTGGAGATAAGATCAAGTTTATTAATAACTAATTACATTCCTTTATTGGATGAAGAAAACCTTCAGCAAGAAAGAATAGCATAAACCATAGCAAGAGATACACTACCTTATCAGGAATTTTTGTATGACTTTGATATACTGTGTTTGCAATGTTTTCAGCATACATGATTCCCCTATTTTTGTTTAAAAAAAAAAATCATATCAATTATGATGATATTTAACCCAATAACAGCAGGTAAAATTTCCAATAAATTCTGGCAAGGATAAGCATACATTAATGTGCACTTCTCTATGCCTGGGCAATTGTCCAGCTGGCAGTCAGGCTCTTAAGACCTAATCCCGGCTGTCCGGACTTAGACTTAAGACTTGATTAAGTAATACATGCCATAATAGGACATTTACCATCACCAGTCCCTTAAAAACCTGCTGTTGTCATAATGAACCTTTAGCATCTGTATCATTCTTACTCAGCTTTGAGCATCAGTCTACTGTATTTGCAAATATTTTCTTAATATTATTTAAGTCTGTCATATTAGATTTTTAAAGCAAGAAACTTTACTTTTTAAATATGGTAATATTGTTGGTACTGACATAGTTGCTTACAGATTTCTGCTGGGCTCTTTTTGTATTTTTCTGTCCACCTTTCTTTTTTCTTTCTTCTTATGGATAAAGAGTGCCTGTTTTGTGTTTATATGGCACTGCAAAAATTATATCAATGTAAGGAAAAATAGTCAATGTCTTCATGATCACAGTAAAGAGAAGACTGGCTAAACACAAGTAATGATAATGCCAGTACTGCCAAATAGGCAGTATTACTGATATGAAAAGTACAAGGTTGCAAATCAGTCAGGACATTTATGAGCATGACACTAAGTGTCTGAAATGATGTTTATAAATAAAACTTATTTGTGGTATGTAGCTGTCTGATGCTTGGTTGCTGAAAGAACATATAGCAGATTAATCTAAGCAGCAGCATACAAATGTTTTAGCTGAATACATGTTCAATGTTGTATACCTCTCAAAAAGATCTACAGATACTGTGTTATACTTCCCTGTTAAATGCGTTTGGGACTCTGTGGACTGACATGTGTTCTTTTACATAGTAATGTATTTATTTGAAAACGTTAGGTCATGTGTGTCTTTAGTTTTTTTTTATATCTGTTTGTATACTGGTATCAAAAGCTCAAAATTATTAGTAATAAAGATTTTTGCAAATATTTCTTATAATTTACCTCACTATAAATAATCAAGTTTTGATTTCTTAATAAAAACCCTGGATACAAATGGGTATATAGTGGAAAAGATTTCATAAAGTTAGTCGACCCAAATCTCATATGTTGTAATGTCATTCTAAGTTTGGAATAGTAAACCATTGTTTTTTAATTTTATGGAATTTGTGATAATAATTTATAAGCATCTTCTGTATTATAATCTTTCACTACATAAGCTATTTGCTTTCATAAATTTATATTAATTTTTCAGGTAAGGATAACATGGCTATTTTTTTTTTCTTCAAAGCTTGGACTTCCATTCATTGTTACTGCTATGACAGTTTCTATTGAAGGTTAACTTTTCTTCTTTTAAAGCGTGATATACTTATGTGATTTAACTCTATACAGTTCTGTACCTCCACTACATCCTTTGCTCATTGTTCTTGTGGGGAACAGGAGATTGAGACTGAGGCCCAAGGTAGGGGATCACCCCTACCTTGGACTTCAGCTGTCACCTCAAACTATTTTGCATGGTCTTTTCTTTTCTCCCTTTCCTTTTCCTTCTCTTCATCTCCTTCTGTACACATTCTAAGGTGTGAGAGTTGTGCTGAAAGGATGAAAGGCTGGCTTTGTGTCAGTCCTGAATGGCCTTTGTACTCCATTTGCTCTTCCCTCTTTACCCTTTTCACTAGCATACTAATCTATAGTGCCCTACAACCTTTGACATCTAACATAATTTGTCCTAATCATGAAATAATTTTTAACCTTTTGGCCTGCTGTATGACCTTTGATGTCTGGCATAATTATATGTTTTGACCATTAACCATTCTGGGAATCCATAAATAGCCTTATGAACCCAAATCCTTTCTTACCCAGAGGCTTTTGCCCCCAAGCGACACCCTTTTGCTATATTTTGAAAATGCTTAGATGTTGATACGGTAGAAAATTTCAGTAAATTTCTATAGATATAGTTAATAATATTTAGCAAAACAAAAGCTTAAGATGAATATCTCTCTGCCACATCCACCCTTCATTTCCAACCACAGGGATCCCTTGTGGCAAGTCGCCAGGCAAGACCTTTGCCTATCTCCAGCTGCTCGTCTGGTCGAGCAGGCCAAGCTACAACTTCCTAGAACTACCCACAGGCTTCCTCTATGTAGGGTTGTCTCATACAGTCACCCTAATGGCCAGGATCATCCACAGGGAACCGAGCTAGGTGACTGTATAGCCAAAGTTGGCAGTTACAGATTGTGCAAGTAACAGGTCCCACGTCGGTCTCACAATGTAGTCATGGGTTTGACCCATTTTCTTGCCAACTGTACTCTATGATCCGGTGTAAGAACTTGCTGCAAAAGGCCTAAATAGGTTTCGTTTCCATAGAGAAAAAACTGGCAGTATCAGGCCTTGAAGGCACGTAACTTCATCCTTCAGCATAGGTACCAGCACCTCCAAATGCTATTGTTGACTGAGTTCATGGCTCCTACTGCTAGATTATGGACTGCACTACCAAGGTATGTATAGCTCTTTGTGACTTCAACGTCCTCACCACAAGCCTGTATCGACTGAATAGGAGCTCTAATCCCGGGGGCTTCGACTCCCTGCACCAGAGCCACCAGAGATTCCAGATACTCAAATAGGATTGTCAGCAAAGTCGAGGCTCGTGACCGTGTTATTCCCCAGTGTTGCTCCACAGTGACTTGTGATAGTAGCTCTGCCCATTAGCCTGTCTATGCATGTTGGTGCAAGGACACAGCCTTATCTCATTCCTGATTTAACAAAAAAGAAGCTTGACTGGCACCCACCACACTTTACAGCACTTTCAGTATCAGTATGACACTGAGGGTGACGAGCGGTTGCGAGTGTGAGAGGGTGACACACTGAGGGTGACGAGCGGTTGCGAGTGTGACACTGAGGGTGACGAGGTGTGTGACACTGAGGGACGAGCGGTTGCGAGTGTGACACTGAGGGTGATGAGCGGTTGCGAGTGTGACACTTAGGGTGACGAGCGGTTGTGAGTGTGACACTGAGGGTGACGAGCGGCTTGCCATTAAATCAATAATCTGTGTTGGAATTCCCGTCAGAATCTCCCATAGCGATTCGCCACAACCAGTCTATGATCATTGCCACAGAACTCGGCACCCCTGAAAACCCTGCAGTTCTGGAGGACCCTCCAGCGAGTGCAAACAAGAATGTGGTCGATCTCCTTAGCCACAGTACCTGTATCCCTATGCCAAGTCCAGTGATGCAGGTTAAATCACTGATACCAGGATCCAGAAATCCTCAATCTCAGGGATCTAGTAAAGTCCCGGAGAAGGAGGCAGCTCTCATTGCTGAGATTAGCTTCCAAGCCACAGGGACCGACAGA